TCCCTTCCAGGTCTAGTGTTCTATGAGTCTATAACTGGTGATCTGTGGAAAGGTTTGCTTTGAGCCAGGTGGTCCATGGGCCAGAGAGTTTGAGATCCACTGGTCTAGATGATCTCTAATGAGCCATGCCATGATGATTCAAGCTTTACATTCTTTCATTTGGTTAGTCCTCCTTAGTGGCTTTTCAGGAGTCCAATGTGGTGCTTCTGTTATCCCTGTCTAACTTGTGCTTGCTTAGTTAATATCGGGCTTAGCACCCAGAGACACTTTGAAATGAAAAATATCGTAATTGCTATCCAAAATGGACTCTCTTTCTCTCCGTCTCCTGCCATTATCCCTCCTTCACCAGCCCTTCCTCTAGCTAGTGACCATGCCAGCATGATGGCCTGGGGCCAAGGGAATTAGACAAAGCTGTCCTTGCAGGGGCACACACTGTGATGTGACTGCAACTGGCTTTCTTCCTTGCTGGACCCTAATGCTGAGTTTCTGTGCTGTGTTTAAATTAAATGCCACCAGCTCAGCTAGAAATGCAAATCCTGGGTTTGCTTCCAAACCTGGGGCTAGAACATCCCTTTCCTTTGTATTCTGTGGAGGGGCTGAAAAAGCAGGACATCTGTCCCTTTGGCCCAAAATCACCTCTGCAGAAGCAGCTCTGCTGGAACTTGGAGCGATTAGGACTCAGTTTCAAGGGGAGGTGGCCAGCTGGGGTCTCAGCTGCAGGGTTTTTGGTGCAAGTGGGACTAGAGCAGGGGTGGCCAACCCGTTAGAGACGAAGAGCCAAAATAGCGGTGGATAGAGTGCGAAGAGCCACGTACCGGGGGGGAGGAGGGACGGGGAACGGGAGGGGAGTTGTTAAGAAAAAAAAAAAACCGTGCCAGAGAAAAAGAGGTGCCAGTACACCGTCCCAAGCTCTGGGACAGAAACTGGGTGCAGGAGAAAGTAGAGAAAAGGATGCTGGCTCAGGGAGGTGGCGTCAAGCTGGTGAGTGTTGGGGTCCGGGGGAGGGTTGGGGTGCTGAACAAGCCATAGGCTTGTGGGTGGG